AAGGCGTGGAAGTTCGCCCCGTTAGCTCTCATGTGGGTAGTATGGGGGGAGAGAAATAGGAGAGCTTTTGAGGAGATTGAGTCTCCTTTTTCACATTTTAAGAATAGTCTTTTATCTTTGATCGCTTTTTGGAGCACTCATTTAGCCCCTACTTGTATAGAAGATTGGGCGTTTTTTGTAGAGAATCATGTTCTGATGTAAATTCTCTACGTCTTTGGTATACTTCGTGTATACGGGAGTTCTCTCCCTTTTGATTAATACAATTTGCCTTATCAAAAAAAATCAGATTGATAAACATAAGGGTTTCAAGACACTCACATGGGTCCTGTATTTTCTTCTCCTCACGAGGTTTCCTTTTAGTAGGAACAGTTGCACGTTTAGTTTGCTTGCTCTTAGGGACGGGTTTTGCAAGAGATACCTTCAAGTTTACCTAAAAATTTTAATCAACATTAAAATAATCATGAGCAAAGCAATTTTCTCAATAACTTAGCAGCAGATTACTCTAACACTGAAACCTTGGATCCACTTACGTTGAATGGTTCGTGACTGAATGTCTCAATGCACGCTAGAGCAGACTCACGGCTTATATAATTGACGAAGGCAAAATCTTTTCTTCTTGAGGAAGCAAGATCTTTTGCAAGAACAACACTCTCAATTTCACCAAATTTGCCAAAGTAGTCCCGCACTTTCTCTTCATTCCATGTGGAAGGTAAATATTCAGCATAAACTGATTTAACCTTGACAAAGGCAAAACACTTTCAATTTAAGTATTTTAATCAAATTAAAAAGTGCATTTTAGATAGAGATAGTTAATCTGCTAGGAAAGGGAAAGATACAGAGCAAAATAGAACAAATTGAGGCTTCTCTCTGACACCACTTGGCATTTATTTCAGGTAAACAAGTTGATAAGAATCAATATATTAATTCCTAAAGTTTCCAAACTGACCTTTAGCATTTCTTCTTCATTTGGCTCAACTAAAGGCTGCGCCCATGCAACTTTTACATTCATGTGTTTCCCAAAAACATCCTTCTTCTGGAGCTTATTGAAAGCAATCTTAGCTTCTTTATTTGTTTCAAGTTCAACAAATGCAAACCCTCGATTCTGCTCAATGTTATTAGGATTAGCCATAACTGTAACCTTATCGATATTTTCAATTCCAGCCTTCTTCAGTAGATCAATTACCTGTCAAGAGATAAACTCTTTAGAAGTCACTTTAACCCAGAGGAATTACAATGATCAGCAGCAAACAGTAGAGCTTACGTCTTCAGTCTTCCATTTCCTGTCAATATTGCCTAGGTATATTGTGTCATTACCCTCAACAAGGGATACACCACATTGCTTTCCAGATATCTAGGTTTCAAGATCAAACAAATATGTTAGTCCATTGCACACAGCAGCTTAGGCCTTAGTGCAGAAACTGCAAATATTTCTCAACAGGACTGCACAAGTAAACTTAGCTAAAAGATATTATTCTCTATGCCGTAATTTTGGGTGGAAACTGAAAATTGCATGAACCGAGAATCACAAGAATCGACATCCACACAGTATGACTTTACCTCAAACCATAGTACTTATGACTAGTACAATTACACAAAGCAAATCTTAAGAATTGGTAGCCACATCCACTCATCAACCAGAAAAAGGGTATCTGTAACCAATATCCATTTAAAGCATGGTATCCAAAAATAAGCTTTAACTGAACCACTTTCCAAAATGTAGCACCTATCTCTAACCTGTATTAGGGTACACAAATTTACTAGATAAGCTTCCAGCAATCTATTTTTTGGGATAAATACAGATAAGCTTCCAGCATATAAATCTTAAATCATCTAGATTCCTGTAGATAAACTTATATCATACCATCACACTCTAAAGAGAACAAAATAATAAATGTTTGAAAATCACACCAGTGTAGCAAAACTGGTACGATCGGCGATCGCATAGAGAGAACAGAGAATGAACTCCCAAATTGACATTATTTAAAGCATTATACTGAATATTATCGAAATCATTGGTGCTACAGTGCTATTTCTGACCAGTAGTAACATTAGGTGGGATGTATGATATGACAAAAATCTGACCATAGTATTCTGCCAAAACAAAACAACAGCATGCAGCTAAGAAACAAAGTCATGTGCTTGCATTGTAAATCGATCAAACTAAAAGAAAATCCTTAGTCCATAACTACCATTAGCCACAATTGAAAAGTAAGCTAAATATTCCATATTTTAATGTTGATCTTTATCAGAGGATCCAGATCAACTTGATAGATATAATAGATCATAAGATCGTCAAATTCATCAGAGCCCTATTGACGTTTTCAACAAGTTCCCTTTATATACAAGCATGGCCCACCAATAGTGACATTACTATTAAATCGCTCCAAGTCCTTCCAGGAAAAAAAGGCAACTATTGCTGCTTGGAAATAAAGTTTTTGTAGGTTAAAGTTGCTCTGCTGTCAGCTTTCTCCCAAAAAAAAAAAGTTGTTGTGCTAAGATCCTTATCTAAAAGCCTACACAATTCGAGATAAGACATTGTTACTTATTCATTTTAGTTTTGCAAGACACCCTCTAAATTGCTGCCTATTTTTTTTACCTAAAACACAAAGAATTTTGGGGATGATTGATGGTACAACAAAAATCCGAAACTTTGCCTATCATGTTGAATAGTATGAGGCGCCTCATATAAAATACTTAGCTATTAGATTGTAGCCACTTTTATCTATTCATTTGAGGCTTATGACAAAGGATACTTCAAACCACGAGAATTAGCTTTGTTATCAAACTGCAAAATGAGAAATGTTTGAAAATATGAGAGGGTAAGTCTGAACAGTTGAAACCTGAAAGGCTAGAAGGCAGTCTCTATAATTAATCTTTTTGGAAAAATCAAACTGATTTTGTAAAATGGTTTGGATATAACAGCTAATCATTCTTTTGATAACCTATAACAGCTAATTGTTTATGAGAGTGAATTAGTGAAAGAGGGAACACCAAAAGACTCTACTCTCTTCATAAAGGATGACAGTAAAATCACATGCTTTCATTTTAAAATTTCTTTGCTATTACATAACATTATGAGAAGCCGAATTTATTAAGAATTAGTTTAATTAATAAGCTTGAAACTTTTGTAGGATCTAGGAAATTGATAGTTAGGTCAAAAAATCCATACGAATCCTGTCACACACTAGATTTAATAGCTTTATGTGTAGACAAAACAGCCACAAACGCACTACTTAAACAAAGTTTTGCTCTAATTAGAAGACTACGCATAGTAATTCCAAACGGCATTACCTCAACTTTGGAATATCTTTCTACAGCCTTCTTCGCATCAGCCGCGGAAGCAAACCGCACGAACGCAAACCCCTTGTTCTTCCCTGTTTCACGATTTGTCACCACTATTACATCCACAACCTCACCAACTTCCTCAAAGATTCTCCTAATATCACCCTCCTTTGTCTCCTTGTCTAATCCTCCAATGAAAATCTCTGTCCTCCGCCTCTTCTTCCGCTCTAATGCCTCCAATTCCCCACTCATTACTATTCCTTGGTTCAACCTCAGACTAGTATCTGCAGCTTCCATTGTTTTATCCCTGCTCTGACTGTTTTCTTCCAAATTTTGATCCTTACATGAGTCCAAATTATCACTAGTAGAAACATTAAGATTACCTGTTTCTGAATCAAGAAGTGCAGCTTGAGAAACAGTATCAGCAGTCTCAACAAAAGCAGTGTCTTTACATTCCAAAACTGGAGGCTCTAATGTATTTTGGGTTGCACTCACATTAGTAGCTTTCTCAACTTCCATAGGATGTAGATTGTATTTCATTGACTGCTCAGCTTCAGCTGAAACAGCCTTACAAGACTCTAGATTTTCAGTTTCTGGAGGACTACACTTAGCTACTGAATCCAAAACAGTTTCTGCGTCCCCACTTTTGACCGAAGATTTAAGTTTGGGGACTTTCTTCTTGACAATCTTCTTGACAATCTTTTTAACTGGACGAAGGTTACCTTTTTCTGAATTAAGAACTACGTTTCCTGTCTCAAGAGAACCTATATTATCCTTTGCATCCGAAATGGGAAGCTCTAATTCATGTTTAGATACACTAACGTCACAATCCTTCATTCCATCGTTTCCTAAGATATCTTCAGCCGCAACGATAGTACCTTTCTCAGCTTCTACTGGATAAAGATCGCCTTTTTTTGGGTCGCCAACCTCACCAACTGTAGCAGCAGTAGTAGGCTCTAAATTTTCAGTTTCTGATTCAATAATGCCTGGAGAGGTGGCCAATGAATCCGAAACAGCTTCTCTGTCACCATTTTCCCCGCCTTTGACTGATTCCTCGTTCTTCGATTTGGGGACTTTTCTCTTAACAATCTTCTTGACAATCCTTACAGTCTTTTTCACCACTTTTTTCTTACCAACTCCTACTTTCTGCTCCCCAGCAGCTTCAATTTCCACTTTGTTATCCTCCGGCGAGCTCAACATGGTTTCCTCGGTGGTTTCCCCAATATTCATAACCGTGTTTGTTGTTTCAGGAACTTGGGAGATCACGGATTGCTCGCTGATGCCTTTAGAATTGGTAGAGTTGGGAGACAATTCATCGGATGTAGTTGTGATGACGTCAGCGGCATCGGACGGTGAGGGATTAGGGGAACCGGTGGATTTGGTTACTTTGGGAATGGATTTCCTGGCAGTCATTATGGTTTTGCGGCGGCGCCGCGGCACCGACGCAGCTTTCGGCGGCATTGAGCGGCCGGGGAAAAGACAAGTCACTTCTTGTTATTTGCAAGTCGAAAAGGTCGTCTGAAGAAGAAACTGGAAATCTAAAAAAGGAGCTAACTATTTCCCTGCCAAAGTTGAGGAATAAATTGGCAAATAGGCCACTTTTAAATGGCCTCTCGCAATTAAACTTTTAACTGATTGTCGTGCCGGTAAATATACTTTCAAAATTGATATATGAACACTTAAACTTGAGCATAGGTGAACTAATAAATACCTTCGACCTATGACTCAATCTACGTGGCATCAGTTATTCCTAGTCAGTTGTTGTGCGTGTAAGACACGCCTGGCAGAAGCGTGATTGAGGTATTTTTACTGCCCAACGGTAATAAAACACAAGGGGCCATCTATTTAAAGGGCCTCTTCTTCCTCAATGTTTAACAACCTCCATTATTGACGCCTAACAAGCTCTGCAGCACTTCTTTTTTTCAAATTTTTTACAGATTCTAAGTATTTTTCTTCTGTAAGTCGATATTTTATTCTTCAGGCCAGAAATGCAATGGAAAGTCGTGTAGTTTGTCGTTGTGGAGTTGACGTTGTTGTGTGCATAACCTGGAAGCCCACCAATCCGGGTAGAAGGTTCTTAGGATGCTCAAATTATGGTACAACTAGTTGCTGTAATTTTTTCAGTTGGGTTAACCCACATCTTCCAAATCATTACAAACAAGTAATTTCGGGACTGCTATCAAGAATTCGCGTCAATGAGCAGCGAAGGAACATGTGAAAACAATATGTAATTGTATTTGTTGTTGCTGCACTGTTCTTTGTAGTGTTATTCTTAGCTTAGGATCTTTGTATTGTATGTTTATTCTTAACAAACAATGACAATGTCAAGTGTATGAAGTATTTTGCTGCAATGAAAAGTTATGCTTGGCATTAACATCTGAATAATTAGACAAGTTCAAAACAACCATTTTGATTGTGAATAGTAGGCCATCAAATCTGCACACTACCAGAAACCAGTTTACTATTGTGTCTAAAACCAAACCAAAACAACATTAACTAAGTTCTGAATATTTCAGATCAAATCTTCCACAAAATAACCTATAAATAAGTTCTGATATTAACAGACTTAAACTTTCACAAAAAAAAATATTTCTTCAAATCATTATGGTAGAGACAGGTTGAAGTTGGACTGAGATTGGCTCAGGTTTGGCTGAGTTGAAGCATGAGCTTCACATTGGCTTAGGGTTGCCTGAATTTGTCTCCTTCTAGCCTGTTGTTGAAGCTGCCTTTGGGTTACTGCATTTGTTCCTTTCCACCTTAGTCCAGGTGTTCTATATCCAAGATCAATAATGGTCTGGCTAGCATCAATTATTTGCCTAGGATCATACGTGACTCTGTCCCTTAACCCAAACTACATTCAAATAGAAATATAATTTTAGAACTTAGTATAGTAATTAGACCCAACAATTGGACAGAATTTCACATACTTACCCTCTCTATGACTGTCCCTGATTCACCAAACAGTATTCCAAATCCAGTAGTCCTAGGCCTAAGCCTTCCACCTAAAGTTCTAAGAATTTGTTGAGGAGACCTTGATCTTTCTTCTGTAGTTCCAGATTGTTGTGTTCCTGATCCACCATCACCAGTAGTTCCAGAATTTCTTTGTGTTGCAGATCTTGCTATTGCAATAGTAGCAGATTGTTGTGCTGCAGATCCACCACCACCACCAGCAGTAGTACCAGAATGACCTCCTGATGCAGTTGTTGTAGCCTAGGCATTTGCAGTACTACTCCCAGCACCAGCAGTTGAACTTTTCCCTTTCTAAAACACCCAGAATATTAAAATTGAGCAAAAGACTAAAAACACTTAAAGCATAAGAAGTATTTGATTCTTACCAAAATTGCACAACCTTTCTTGTTATGCCATGTTGTCTTGTAATGAGAACATGTCATTGGTGTCCCCTTTCTCGATCTCTTACCAAATTTCTTTGTAGGTTCATATTGAGCCTTTCTTCTATGTTTCTTAGGTTTACCAGACATCTTAGTAATTACAAGAGGCTCAACTTCGGGGTTTTGAGTTGGAGGCCACATCTCCATGTTGGTCATAGGTTGTATGTAACAACTGAATGCCTTGAGGTATGTTTCCTTTTTATACCAATGCTCAACATAGTCAGCAGTGTCATACCTTTTTAAAAAAATTGCACAAAGTGTATGGGAGCATGGTGTGCCTTTCAGCTGCCACATTATACACGTGCACTCCTTCTTTACAAAATCAACTATGTGTTTGCAAATTCCATCTTGGATCTCAAATCCAGTGTCCCCATTCCATTTATATTCATGCTTGGTAGCTCTTATAGATTGCTCTTCAATGTACCCCCCAGTGCCATAGGAGATATATCAGAATTCCACTTTGTAGCTAATTCTCTCATATTAGTCATCCTTTCCATTACCTTCACTCTGATCTCTTCCAACATAGTTATGATTGACTTGTGCCTAGAAGTAAGTATCCAAATGTTGAAGGTCTCACACATATTATTCTCCACAACATCACACTTACTACAGTCTTTAAAAAAAGCCTTGTACCATGACTATTTGAGATATCTAAGCAAGTCTTCTATTATCTTATTGCCACCCAATTCTGTCAACTCATCTAGTTTAACCTTCAGAAATGCTTCAAATGAAGCTCTTGCACAACCCCAGAACTTCTTCCTTCTTTTCCTCACCACCCCAGATTTTCTTCCAGTTGCTCCATACGTGCCTTGCACACATTCTATGCTCAGCATTTGGCATCAATTCAAATACAACTTGAACAAGTTACTTGAACAACAAAAATACACTGTTAGAGTTCATCCAATGCAATCTTAAATATTAAAGTAAAAAATGAGATTAAAACAATACACATACCTTCTGCATATCAGACATAATTGTTAGTCCTTCACCTTTAGATTCTGTCAGTTTCAAGTCCTCCATTAGACACCTAAAAAACCAGGACCAACTGTTCTTGGTCTCTTTCTCAACCACTGCCCAAGCCACAGGGTACATCTGGTTATTACCATCCTTAGCAATGCATGACAATAGCTCACCTTTACACACTCCCTTCAGAAATACATCATCAAATCCAATTACTTTTCTACACCCTTTTAACAACCTGTTTTCAAAGCATGTAAACAAATGTATATCCCCACAAAGACCTCTTTACCAGGTTCTATTTCTTTTGAAGTCCTCACCACAACAGTGCTGCCTGGGTTAGTAGTTCTTATCATGTCAGCATAATCTTAAATCCTAGCAAACTCTATTTTGTAATCACCTAAATACTTACCCATTAACTTCTGTCTAGCCCTGGTACATATTGTTTTTCTAACATACACACCATACTTAATCCTTATCAACTCTCGCAACTTCTTGAGCTTTATGTCAGGCAGATTAATGATCTTATCTTTGTAATGTTTAACTATCCAAGCTGTGTTAGCAAGCTTGTTCCTTGTGACTAGGAAGCATGAATGGACAGGGTAGTATGTGTTAACAATGAAGTTCTGTGTGTGGCCTTGTAAACTGCCTAAAATATGCCATCTACATCTACTAGAGTTCAAACGTCTTGCCCTGACCCTATTCCTCTCATTTCGTCTCAACTTTAACTGAACTCTCCTCTGTACAGCATAGTCTTGTAAAGCAGATCTAAATTGTTTAAAATTTTCAAAGATCATTCCCAGTTAGAAAATAATTTTCTTACAGTTTGGTCAAAGTAGAACCTTCTACTGTATCTTCTTGGAGGAAGGTTATGCACCTCATCATCTGCATATGCATCTATATCATCATCAATACTATCCTCACTCCCTGGATCTGAATTGTCTAGGTACTGCTCATCCCCTCCCAATTTGCCAGCATATTTAGCAGTCTTGTCCTGTAAATGTCTTCAAATCTAGGGTTAATGCCTAACGGGCCACTAGGTAGCTCATCTACATTAACATCACTAGATCTCTATTTCCAGTTCTTCTGATTTACTTTGGTCTGTCTAGCAGCAACAAGGTCAGCTTCTATATCACTTGTCTCTCCAACAACATCCTCATCAACATCATAAAGTGAGTCATATGTATCCTCTTCACCAGAAACACTCTCATATTCACCATCCTCACTCTCAGAATTATCTCAAATTCATCACAATCTGAATATGTGGCTAGATGAAAGTTATAGAACTCCCCTTCATCCTCAGTAGAATCTTTTATATCAACAGCCCTCCCTTTACCCTTTCCCTCAGTAAAACAACCACTATTTATATCATTGGTAGATTAGTTTGTTGCCCTAGCATTAGCTATACTTGTTTGTCCTTGTGACACTTCACTAAAGCCAGATGTTTGTGTTACACCCCACGTTTTCGTACGTGAAAGTACGCCATAAGTAAATTGATGAAAGCTCGAAAATGAGATGTTACATCCCGCTTTTTCGTACGTTAAAGTTTCGTCGTAAGTTAATCGACGTAAGTTCGGGAATGAGATTACTTTGAGATTATAAGTATTATGCTATTTCAAATAAGTGATAAGTAAATTCGTGAAGGTGAGAGGGTAAGCGAATCGAAGAAAATAAGTTTCGTCGAAGTTTGACAATTTGGGATAAAATACGGTCCAAGCTATAATACCCGGGTATTTATGGACTAGTGTCATACAAGATACCACATGACCATGATAGTAAGGTGTATAAGGTGTGTTAAAAGTAAGTAATATTTTAAGTCATTTGAGATAGTTCTTAATTATGTGGGTAATTGGTTAATTATTGGACTAGTGAGGGATTACCAAGTTAATTAAAAAGTTGGTGGAGGATTAATTAAAATTTTCTGGATTAGCCTTGAACCCCAACGTGGCAGCAAGATATAGTCAATCAAATGACTCTTTATTCACAAAGCAAGGTGGCAAAGTTAGATGAATTGATGGCCAAGTCTTACTAAGTGGGGCCCACACTCAAATATTAAAAGAGACATCTCTAATTCATTATTAAATCTCTACAAAGTTCAAATAAGGCTTCAACAAAACTCATTCATAAAAGATTAGATGTTGGCAACGTGGTTTTGCTACAAAAATCATACGAGACTACGTAATGTTATAGTAATGGGATTTTGCGATTCTAAAGGAGTACGGTGCAATCTTTCTC